TCTATCCCTGTGGTACGGGGGGCCAGTGCTGTGCCAGGCTTGGGGTGGGCATGAGTGGGAGGAGGGACCCGGCTGAGCGGGGAGCAGGGGAGCAGGGGAAGGTGGAGCGTGAAGCGTGGAGCCTCGGGAGCACGCTCAGCCTCAGTGAGCCCAGCCCAGCCGCTCCTCCCCAGGGGCAGATGACTGCAGCTTGCCTGCCACTCCAGGTGAGCAAGCCGTCCCAGCAGCCTTTCCAGAACCACTGAGGGCGACTTTGACCGCACAGAGCCCCGCGCCAGCACCGGCTCTAGAACTTGACCCCAAACAAGGCGCAGTTCTATGTTAGGACTTGCACGCTCTCGGACAGTTGTCAGGTGTCCTTTCTCTCGGGCCCTTTCAATACACCCTTTTATGGTTCTTTTTCTCCTTGGACCCTTTTTGGTCTTTAATCTGATTTTACCTGTAGAAGAATGTTGCTGGGAGCTCCCGACCCAGAATGATGTGTCGACTCCCCGTAACATGCAAGAAGAATAGTCCTACAGTCAGAGCTTCTTTGAACATACTTTACTTTGCTTCCACTTCAGTGCCTGCGCACACAGGTGTGTGTGTGTGTCTGTGTGTGTGTGTCTGTGTGTGTGTGTGTTTATAATGCATTCTTACTCCTGCTGCCTTTGTGTTTGCTGAGCAGGACAACGATCCACCCACCCACCCAGTCGGCAAATCCCTGCCTCCCCCCGGCCCCCCCCCAGCCTCGGTCACACTGGAGTCCTTTTCACTCCTGCTCCAGGTGTGACTTTGGTCTTTGGGAAGCACCAGGGACTGAGGACAGTGGGAACAGTGTATTATTTGGGCAATCAGAGATTGGCGGGGCGGGAGGGGTGCCCACCCGGAATTTGTCTTGAGGGCTGGCTTGGGACGGCCGTGAGCAGGACCAGGGGGATGTGGCCTTGGGGGCCCCGCGGCTGATGCGTGTATGAGCCTTCGGAACGGAGCTCCCGCAGAGAGAATAAGAGAGCTGCAGCCCGGCCCCGCCTGGACTTGCACACCCTCCCCTGCCCGTCAGCCCCGATGCTGCAGCTGCCGGGGCTCTGAGGGTGCGTGTGGCTGCGTGTGAGCGGTAGGAGGTGGGGGCGGCGGCAGGGCCGTCTCTGTCCTCCATCTCTCCTGTTCTAGGCCACTCCATGGCCACACCCCCTGCAGCTTTGTTTCTCCCGGAGGGACAAGGCCTGGGTCCTCTCAATTCGTGGAGACCCACTAAGGACCTACTGAGCCATCCCAGGCCCTGACACTCCCAGGGCAACCCTAGGCCGCGAAAGGCCTGGACCTGTGCATTTGCCTCTCAGAAGGCAAGAGAGGGGACTGGTCCCAGAGCTGGGGCCTGTGCTGCTGCTTCCGGTGCCTCCCTGAGGTTCGGTACCCACTGGGGACTCTCTCCTTGGCCATGTTGACAGGAGCTGCACAGGCCGAACCAGTGCTTCTGTGACTCCACACCTGGGGGGTGGCGCAACATGTCCAGGCATTTTGGAGATCGTGTCGGCCGATTTGCCTGGGTTTAGAACAGGGGTCAGCAAACTATGGCCCCTGGGCCAAATCTGGCCCACTGTCTGTTTTTTGTAAAGTTTTGTTGGAATATAGCCATGCCCATTCATTTCTGTATTATCGGGAAAGCCTAGAATATTTACTGTCTGGCCCCTGACAGAACACGTTTGCCAACCCCTGGCTTGGAAGGGACTTTAAATTTGTTCTGCTCAGACACATGGGTCTTGGCTCAAAGACAGCGTCCATCATAGGGCCAAGTGCAGTGACCGGGAAGATGGATAACAGTGATCTCTGTTCAGTGTACAGAACAGAGCCTAGAAAATAAAAATCAAAAACAAAACCAAAGGGAAAATGCCAGCCGTCCTAGGTCCTCTCTGGAACACTGTCTCGGCTGAGCCTTCGGAAGCATGGGGCACCCATCTTAATGGAGGGCCAGACAGAGCCTCGAGAAAGCTCAGGCAGAGTCCTAGGCAGCGGCCCGAGGCACTGTTTCAGTGAGCGGGTTTCCTCCCAGGACTAGAAGCCCCAGGAGCAGTGCTGGTGGAGGAGAGCAAAGTAGGGAGGTGCAAATGCAGGGGAAGAACCCTATAGGCCATCCCCAAGACAGGGCTAGCGGAGCTCCAGGAGACCTACCGCAGCGTGAAGCTCTGCGGCCACATGTGAAAAGAGAAGGGAGGGGAGGGGCAGCTGGCTGGCTTCGGTGGCCTTGCATGGCAAGGAGGTGGCTAGGTATGGGTAGCAGGAGGTCTACGAGAAGGAAGTGTCAGCTTTGACCGTAGTCTGGACGTAGGGCGGGGAACAGGCAGGCGACAGGTGAATCGAGAGTGGCTCCAGGGTTGCTATGGTGGATGACCACGTGGGGATGACTCTGAAGGCAGGATGGCCCAGAAGCAGCAGAGTGGGTGGGCCACAGCCCCTGGCCAGGCTCTGGGATGCCCTTGCGCAGGAGCTTCTCACGGGGCTGCCCACACTTTTACCTGTCTCCCTTCCTCCCAGGGCCTCCCGCTGGTCAAGGCCATGTGGTCCAGGGGCCAGAAAGGACCTTCCCCCTTGGATGGCTTCTCCCCATCACCCCCCTCTCGCACATGTCCTGCCTGCCCAGTGTCTCCCCCAACCCCCAGCCTTCTCCACGCTCCACACCTATGCCCAGGGTAGGGGTGGGATCTCCGGTGCCAAGACGCTGGGATAGAGCCCACGGAAGGGCAATGGCCTCTTTGTTCCAGGAAGCAGTAAAATGAGCTGTCTTAGGAAGTCAGCTCCTTCCTCGTCCTCTGGAGAGCTCCCCACAGGGTCCTGCACGGAGAGGTCGCTGGGTACCAGCCAGAGTGAGGCGTCCAGGCAGAGATGGATATGGGTGCTTCTGACTTTGAGAACTGCCCCTGACCACCTCAGGAGGAGACTCGAATGGAGTCTGGGGAGGCACGGTAGACAGAAGTCAGGGAAGGCTGTAGCCAGGCGGCCCCCAGTCTCTGTAGTTACGAGGACCACGTTTGTACCCCAAAACCCCAGCTCTCCACCCCCACACAGCCTGGCAAGCAGGTGCCAAAGCCATGGGGTGCCCCCTCTGCAGGGCCACAGGCAAGTCCTGGAGGTTTTGAAGGCTCTCAGGAGTCAATGGGCCTGAAGGCTTGAAATTGGGATTGTCCTGGGGGATCCAGGACGTAAAGTCGTGATATCCACAGAACTTTCCAGAACCCGGGTGGTCCTCTAGCTGCAGAGGGACATCTCTGCACGATACCAGCTTTGCATACATTTGACACAAGATGTCCTAACCTGTCTCTGAAGAAATGACCATGCCTCAGGGAGTGAGTGAGCCTTCCATTCCACAGCAGAAAGGGGAAGACGAGAAGCTTGATGTGCTCAATGAAGTTGGGGGTGGGGGTTGCAATCAAGTCTTCCCACACGGGGACCTTTATCCTGCCAAAAGCCAACCTCCTAGAGGCCTGGCCGCCCTGGAGATGTGGTCCCAGCGGAGGGAGGCAGCTTGGGGTCGGCTAAGAAGACGGACAACCAGAGACAGCAAGCCTGTTGCTGATCCCTCCCTCCCCCTTGGCCCCACTGGCCCCCCTCTCCCAGATTCCCCTGCACAGCTCTCCCTCCCCTCCCAGCGGGTACTCTCTCCCTGCCACCTGCAGAAGGGAGTCCCACAGCACCCCCCCCCCACAGCGGGTTCCTTTGGACCGTCTTCATCCCAGGCACCGCAGTGCTCCTTGGAACCAGGGACCCCCGTGATGCTTTTCCCAGCAGCCAGGCACCCATGGCTTCTCGCCCAGGCTCCTCCATGTGCTCATTCAGGGACATTTACTTAGCCAGGAGCCTGCCTTCTCCCTTGTCTGGTCGGTCGCAGGAGCCCCTCCCCCAAACCAGGCAGCCAAGAGTCCCTTCCACAGGCCAAGGAGGTTTGTGATGGCAGAAAGAAGCTTTTCTTCAGTGAGGCTCAGGAAACCCAAATGGCATGTTCTTTTCCCTTATCCAAGGCTGGACACTGAGGATGGGAATGGCGGGGGTGGTCAGTTGGCCCCACATTTCAGACCCTCATCCTTGGCACTGCTAATGGAGACACTGGGACAGATGCAGTGAAATCTCCCCTCCAAACCCATGACCCTGACCTTTGAGGAGCCAAGTGATGGTGAAGTCAGAGTGGGAACAAGGGCTCTTGGAGTCAGATTTCTTCCCCAGATGGGCCGTTGGGACCCGAGGGGCCAAATGTTGGCTGCTGGTTGAGGGGTGTGGGTAGGGAAAAGTGTCAGTCCTTTAAGTGTTGGTCCAGAACTACTTGACGGCGGGGGTGGGGTGGGGTCAGAGCCTCTGTTCTCACCTGACCAGGGGCCATAAGAAGAGTGTCACTGGTGGCCCTGGCCCAGGAGGGACATAGGACTTGCTGGAGAGGTCACTGCAGCCTCGGGGACCAGCCAGCCAGGAGCCCCCTAGGGCCTCCCAGCTGAGTGCACATGCAGACCCCCAAGTGAGCTTTCCACCTGCACCGGAGTCCCCTTCCCTAGCATGAACCCCCGGAAGCAGCTGTGCTAGAAAAGAAGAGGGGCAGGGAAATGAGGCCTGGCCGCTTCTGCTGCCTCTTACGGCTTCACTTTCCCCCCAGACCACAGGCAAGGGGAATAAGCTTCCCCTTGCTTTGACCAAGGAGGATACCCACTGCCTCAAGGCTGATTGAGGATCCAGGCCAGCTGGCCTTCTGCCCTGGGAAACCGTGGTTAGGTATCTGGTGAGTGTCGTGCCGCCAACACCATCGAGCATGATGCCCGGCTCCCAAGCCCACCTCTCCATGCTGCCTCCTTCCTAACAGTGTAGCTCAGGGACAGAGCCACGGCTGCAGCCTGCCCCGCGTTGGGTGTGCCGGGAGCCCAGAAGCCGGGTTGCTGGGACCTGTCTGCACGGGCAGCCTTGGACTCCTAACTGCCGTGTTCCCCTTCTTCCCGCACCCCCTGCTCACCCGGCCTCCTGTTTCTCTTTCCATCCATCAGGCAACACTGAGGGCCCCACAGTCGCCAGAGGCCGCCTACCAACCTTCCTTGGGACTTCTGTCTGGGCCTCATCACAAAACTGGACGGGAGACCCCACGATTGATGAGTTTGCCCTGGGAGTCAGTGCGAAGGTGAAACCAAAGGCGAACATGGGTCAGAAGGTCACCGGAGGGATCAAGACTGTGGACATGAGGGACCCCACGTACCGGCCCCTGAAGCAGGAGCTCCAGAGCCTGGACTACTGCAAGCCCACCCGCCTGGACCTGCTGCTAGACATGCCCCCCGTGTCCTACGACGTCCAGCTGCTCCACTCGTGGAACAACAATGACCGATCGCTCAACGTCTTTGTGAAGGAAGACGACAAGCTGATCTTTCACCGGCATCCGGTGGCCCAGAGCACAGACGCCATCAGGGGCAAAGTCGGGTACACGCGCGGGCTGCACGTATGGCAGATCACGTGGGCCATGAGGCAGCGGGGCACACATGCTGTGGTGGGGGTGGCGACAGCAGACGCCCCCCTGCACTCCGTCGGGTACACAACCCTCGTGGGGAATAACCACGAGTCTTGGGGCTGGGACTTGGGGCGCAACCGGCTCTACCACGATGGCAAAAACCAACCGAGCAAAACATACCCGGCCTTTTTGGAGCCGGATGAGACATTTATTGTCCCTGACTCGTTCCTCGTGGCCCTGGACATGGATGATGGGACTCTGAGCTTCATTGTGGATGGACAGTACATGGGAGTGGCTTTTCGAGGACTCAAGGGCAAAAAACTGTATCCTGTAGTGAGCGCCGTCTGGGGCCACTGTGAGATCCGCATGCGCTACTTGAATGGACTCGACCGTAAGTGTCCTATGTTCTTCTGTCCAGTGTGACCGGGTTCCTGGACTCCCTGTGGCCCTGGGGTCCTGGCTGCACCTGACCAAAAATTTATAGCCATTGGAACTAAAATGTCTTTAAGTAGATATCCCAACGTATTCATATCCTCAGAGGCTATTCTTGCCTGCCTCTGCTTAAATGAAGAATTCTAGCTGGAGTCTGCCAGATTACCTGCCAGCACCCGATGGATGGATGAATGAGTGGGTGGATGGATGGATGAGTGGATGGATGGATGGATGAGTGGATGGATGGATGGATGAGTGGATGGATGGATGGATGGATG